CGTTACCCTTTCCTTAACACTCACACCCCTGCTAGACTTTCAAAGTAAGACCCCAGGGACTCTACAAAATAAAAGCTTCTACATTATGCACAGATATGAATTGCAGTATATGGCTCAAGATTGTGACCCAAAATCAACAGGTTTTTATAAATTAAACTCTAGGGCTTTTAAAAAACACACCCCAATGCAAATTTCAAAATAAAAGTCTCACATTAAAGCATCTATTTACCTAATAACAGGGAAGAAGACTGATTTCCCAATTGGAAATTGATTAAGTATCCGTGATGGGTGTGAGCCCGGTTCTGTTGGAGATTTCTTCCTTTAAACGCTTACAGCCTTACTGTTTTATCATTTTGATTACATGGGTGTTTGGTCTATTTTAATTTAAGGGTAACAGCTGGTTTCTCCAGCAAGCAGGAAGATTAACCTGCTGGTTAGTTTGCTAGCAAGTATTGGTGGGAACATAACTTTTTTTATGCATCTTAGATCCCTTCACAATTATTCCTTATCAATGCCAAGCTTTTAATCACCTTTCTTTGTCACCTTCAGGTCTGTGTGCCTAGAGTTCATAGAAGCCATGCAGCTCATTTCCAATAAAATTCAGCCTTGTTCGCTTTGCTTTTCCATGTAGCTCTTAAAAAAAAAAAAAAGCTACCTTCTAAACTTCAGAAAAACAAATGTAGTGGGATAAATAACTTAGCAGTGCTACATTTTCCTTCTTTACGTTACGCAATTCTTTTTCTCTGTGTGTGCATGCACATGCATCAGTGGTGCCGCCCCAACCATTTATAAAAATAAAATATTTAGAAATGTATGCATAAGTTTAAGATAAATATTTAGTTTTTAATGACGAGCAAAGCTGTGTCCTTGTTGTCAGATTGGTGACGTATTGCGGCCTTGGAGTGCAAAAACCTTTGCCTATCGACTCTGTTTAAAAGTTGTACATGCGCAGTAGCGCCTCTGTAATGCAAAAGGATAGGAGATCATGGGGCGCAGGAGATCTTGAACTTTGTTTGGTAAATTAATTACACTACAGCATGTAACTGTATAGATGTGTTCATCAGTCCTCATCCTGTTTCAGAGAAATAAACCACAGTTCATTTTTACTAAACTTGTTTTTAATTATTTCAGAAAAATACAGCTTTGTGATCAATATTATGGCTGCTGTGGTAGCTGACATATCTTGTTGACTGGTTTAGGTAAGGGGTAAGAAATACATTTTTACTCATGCACAACATTTCCACTCTACATTTCTAATTATAGTTATAATTTTGGAGATTACTGCATTTCTGTTATTAATCTCTGCTGATAGTTGTGCTGCACAACTTGTGTGTGGCTTGTATACTTTATTTAAATTTCCACAAAGTAAAATGTTATTGCAATATTTATTCCAACTGCAAACTATTCCAGGTCTTAGGGGCAGAAAATTTAAAAGCCTTTTTAACTAGTTTAGTTCTGACCATTGGGACCTGCATCTAAATACAAACCATAATGGTTGACGGTTCTGGTCAGAATTGGACATAATATGAAGGAAGACGCCCCAAAATGCATTTATAAACAAACCAGACAGTAGAAAAGTCTGCTGTCATTCAGAAAGGGACATTTTGTTGAAGTGTACGATGAGAATTGATGAACTATAGTGATAATGGCCCTGAAATGTGAGTCCAACAAAGACATAATGAGCCAAACTTAGTTTTTGATGATAATCCTTTTGTCTCAGTTTTCTTTTTGGCAGGGCATACATTTTACAAATCAAAGTGTTTGTTTTTACGAATTTGTGTTCAGTCAAGAATAATCCAGTCCAGGTTGGATGAGTCGATATATTGAAATTTATCAGTGCCTAATTATCTTGTGAGAAAACATTTGTGTTCGCTCACTGTGTTTTGATAAACAGGACTACAATTATCATGAATCTTTTAGACTTTGATCCAGAAATTAATCAAAATGCATTAATTGCAAAATTGTCCATTAATGCCAAGATTTAAAGTGCATGCCAGCTGAAGCATCCCTAGTGCTTAATTGTTAATCTGTTGCAACATTGTCTAACATTCATATTCTATTACATTAGAGTATTGAGTAAAGGTGTACTTCAGTACCTGATTTCACTAAATTAGACACAATAGATTAATTGCACACAAAACGATGTTTTCAAGCCTCTTATTTCGTCATTTAGAAAATGTGGAAAATATATTCATACATGACTGAAGGTTTATACATGACTAAAACTTTATTATAATCTGATATGAGTGTCACTGGACCGCGTATTCTTAATTTCTTGAATAATATGGGGTTATAATCATAGATTAAATATATTTTACCAGATGACATTAAATGAATAGAGTATTGAAAGAAAGATTTTGATTTTAAAGGAAATTACTAGTTACAACTCTGGTGTAACCATAACTATCAAACCTTTGGCATGTTTATCTGTATGATTACAGCTAGTGCATTTGTCTCTTATATTTTAAAGAATTGTATATATTTTAATTCCTTAACGTTTGTTGTTAATAAACCTTAAAAATAAATTCAAGGAGGGGTTTTGGGTCCACTGCTGATATGGGTGTAAATTTCTCATTATTTGTAATGTAAACTGTTACGTTTTGAAGAATGTTGTAGTCATATAATTAGTAAGTGAATCCTTTAAAGAGACATTTTTACTAAAAGATATCTTTAAAATAGCCTTTTTATTTGACCTTTTACAACTAAATCACCATTTGATGAGCAGACTGACACCTCTAGATCAGCGCTGATGCATCTATAACAAGGGGGGGGGGGGGGCACAATTCATTTCTAATATAACTAACTTTGGGGTGTTTGAACATTCCAATCACAGACCCGATTCAGTGCCGCATAAGATGTTTGTAAAGTGAGCTTCTCAGCATTGAAAGTGGTGACAGCCAATCACACAAGAAAAGGAAAGTGGACCAATCAGGAGCTTGTGGGTGTTCCAAACTCAGGGAAGCAGGCTTCAGCTTCACTGCCGTTTTCATCTTGGTCCTAGTGCTCGACAAATGTCTGTGTACTGTAACGTAACACTGTTTTTGCACAGTAAAATGTGCAGGGGACAGAAAATGATGTTTGAAAAAGTCAAGGGGACATATCCCCCCATCCCCTCCAATATTACGTCCATGATATATAAGCCTGGAGCCTATTATTTACTTGGGGTTGGAAGTTCCCGCACTCTTCTGCAGATGTGACATCAAGCTAGTCCATGTTGAATGGGTCTGACCTAGCAATAAATTGAAGCATTATATTCAAGATGGATTTTATGGATAATCAGGAGCGACCAGCAAAAAAAAAGGAAGGACTAAAGAATAATCAAAAAATATTAACAAGAATGAGTAGAAGAGTACTGCAGTTCTGTGTTTTGGCCATAGGTGGCCTTTTTTTCTTTTCTTTCTTTTTTTTTTTTTTTTTACAGCACTAGTGGCTCGTTTTGCTGACAGTAGGCTGACAGGAAAGGAGGTATAAGAGAGGGGGAGAGACATGCGGCAAAGGACGCCAGGCCAGATTCAAACCCGGGTCGGCTTCGTTGAGGACTAAGGTCTCCGTACATGGATCGTGCGCACTAACCACTGCGTCACCTGCACGCCCAGGTGGCCTCTTTAAAGGAGAGGAAAAGCCCAGTCATATTCAGAATTTATACTTTTGAAAGTATTTCAAATATGAAATTATCACATACTGTTCAATAAATGATAAGTGTTTTTAATCAAGAGTAATTTATTTTGAATGTGCTTTACTGGAGACATCCATGTTTGTCAAAGAACACTACTGCCACCATACCGGTTTGTCACGTCACAATGCGGTATCAGCTGTTGAGCAAGTCCCAATGCATATCTGGTGTTTGTCACGACATGGTATTATCCAGTTCTTCTTGAAAACATTCTTCTTCGAAATGTTGGCTGAATATTATGTGTTTTTTCTCTGGCCAGAAGTTCAATGGCAAATCCTCTCTCGTCAATTTGGCAATCCAACAACCAGGACTGCAGTAACCCGTCCATCGAGGCTCATGAATCAGAAAGGGGAAATAACTTTTTTTTTTCACTTGTACCAGATGTATTACAACTTCCAACTGCCATGCAAGTGGGTATTGTCAGTTTAACTATAGCTCTCCTGAATTTCAATTGTAAATTCGTCTCGAAATCTTCAATAATTGTTGTTGATTGCAGATGAGTCTAGTAGTTCCCATTGATTTTGCTTGTGAATTCGTGAGAAAGGCGCTAGGCTTACCGCACCGTGACATAACTGCCAAAAAATGTCAGGAGTGAGGTGTTACGAGGTGTATATTTGCGAAAAAAATGGCCGCTCCCAAACTCAGTGATTGCGCCGAAAATAATTTTTAAATTTTTTGCTGATTAACGCTATATTCATTAAATCACCACAAACATGTTAGTTTTAGGTATAAATAATGATCCATTGATTATTCCTTGTTGCCTGGACTTTTCCTTCAAGCTAGCAATAGTTAACTCATGCTCTTGAGGTGGCTCAGTTTATAATTTTCTCATTCTTCTTGTTTGTAAGTGGTAAATTAAATTCCAGTCCTGAAGGAAGTTTGAACCAGACCCTTTGTTTCCATCTAATATGCAATCAGGCATTACAATTTTATATGTATTACCATCTGCATAACCAAACAGATTGTTTTAATCCACTTTGCTTTAGCAACTACTTATAAACAACCTATTACGTCAGTTTTTTATGTGTGTCAGCTACAAGTTATTTTCATTAGAGCTTTTTCCCGCTTGCTTTCTGTAACCCTTTTTCTAAAGCGTCACACTTTCAGAAGCGCAAATGTGTGAATGAGTAGAGAAACTCCGCTGTGACCAAATTTAAACTACACCATAAATGTGTTGAGGAGAGTTTACATTGCCACTTGATCTTCGGTTTCAAAGAAATCACACCACACATTATTCAATGAGGAGTGCAAGATGGTTGGTAATTCAAAAATAAAATGAGGATATATACATTCTCCTGAAATCAAATTGAATACAGGCTTGCTTATTTCACTGAAACATTTATTATTACTTGATTCATTGTTACAATCATTGTACAGTGCATTTCTTAATGAAGCAAACAATATAAAGTTGATCTTTGTACGAGTTGACATTCTTAGAAAGCTGAGTGTGAAAACACCAAACACATCTAAACAAGTCATTCTATAAATAAAGTTTCTTAACATGTACACAGATAAAATAGATTATTCTCTGACTGTTATTTGTTAATATATTTGTTTGTGAGGAAAACATAAATGATTTTGCATATTTCCTATCAAAAGTTTGATACTTAACTTTAAATCTTTTTTTACTTCCTTAATGTTAACTCACTATTTATGGACAGAAATTTTTGTTCCAAGCACACGCTAAAAGGGATTCTCAACATTGAAAAAAACTTTAATATGCTGCTCATGGTGAAATAAAAGATGCATTTTACTCACTGAACTAAACTTTTTTTTTATGTGGCGTATTGGAAGAGGGCTAAATCCATGTTCTAAAAAAGGAAAGAAAATGAGAAATGAGTCTCGTGAAGTATTCCCAAAAATGAGGGTTCTGTGCAAAAATTCCCCAAAAGCAAAGAATAGACATGGGTCAAAAGGATTCCCCCATCCAAACAAACAATATAGCATGACTTATTATTAGTGAGAGTAAGACGCCTGCACCAACTCATTTGTGTCCATCTTGAAATCACTGATCTTATTCTTTTTTGATTCTGGTTTGGGGAGTTTTCAGACTGAGTCATGGGATGTGTTAAACTGCATTTGTTTTATACTATAGGCTAGGTTTTGGGGCTTTCCGGAAATCATCACTATGCCTTGAGTTAAAAAACACAAAACACCATCAACTCAACAGTCTCTGGTATAGGTGGTTGGATGGCGTGCTGATGGAAACGTGTAAACAGGATGTCTATTTAGAGACTGCTTTCTCTGTGGGGTGCCGCTGATGGCTGTGTGCATGCCTGCAGCAGAGAAGAAGAGAGGTTAGTGATGAATAAATCAGCAATTTTCAAACTGATACAAGAGGAATAATACCTAGTGAGGTCTTCTATATCCACCAGCATAGCATCTTGTTCCACGTGCAGCTCATCCCTCATTAGTAACAACTGCACCAGCTCCTCATTTAGATCTGCATCAGATTATCCACAAATTAATATTTCAGAAAGCCCCTACAGGGTTCTATTAGAAATTAATTCTGGGAATCAATAAGTTACCCACCAAAATACCAAAGTACCACATACCAAATTATGATATGACTGCTTACAAGTGTCATCATCATCATCATCATCATCACAGGCAACCACAACATTTGGAAGGTTGTGGAACTCCCATTTCTCAGTTGCTTTTGTTCATTTTTAATCTAGTGTATGGGGTTGTGTTGTGTGACCAACTCACTTTGAATCTGTGAGTGTAAGTCATTCGTTATGACTTGCAGCTGTCCCAGGCTCATGTCTCTCATGTCCCCACGCTTTAGGTTCCACTTTACCAACCCCTCACTAATGTGGGGCAGATTAGGGAGCTGAAAGACACACATAGAGGAAGTCTTACATGTTAAATAAATAAAGAATTCTGTTTGTGAGAATTCATCAACTTTAAGCAGAGCTTTTGAATAAACCCCATCGATCAGTGGTGGGACAAAATGCTTGTTTACCAGCTTGTTTACCAGTTTCAGGGAGTTTCTCTTTGTTCTTACACACAGACCAGACAATTGACTATTTACTGAAGCTCTGCAAGTCACAAATGTCATCTTTTGTTGTGTTTACTGTTAGAGTAGCCAATCCATTTTCACTTAATTTCCCCTTCTCATTTCCTATGGTTCTTTTATTGTCTTGAAAAGTGTATAACAATAAATCTTATCTATTTTCTTTGACTAACCAGGTCGGCGACAGGTGAACGTCTGTGCAGCTGAATTTGCCTCTCCACCTCCACCTGCATGCGGGCCATGGGTCGAGCTAAAGCCAGCGCAACCCGGGCCTCTTCTTGCAGCCTTCGCTGCACCCGCCAAAACCCACTGCAGTCATCTAACGGATCTGAGTCCTCCTCTGCAGTGTCACGGTCTGACAGCGATGAACTCTGCTTGCTCTGTGTGGAAAATTTAAAGGAATGATTAGAATTACAACAGCCAGTGTTCTGGAACTGGACACGAGACGCAGGCACCGTGAGAGTCTCTAAAGGTGATTACCATCGGTGATGGTGTGTCCAGGCTAGTTTCTGTCTCCGTCCTACTGTCCTCAGCATCACTGTCTTTATCACTGCTGCTGTCGTTAACAAAACAGACCTGCAGGTTCACCCCACTCTGTAGCCTGAGGGGGAAAAAAAAAAGGATTTTTTTCTTTTAGTCAAGATGAAACTTAAAGATAAAGGGAACATGCATAATCTGTACCCCCTCTTTTTGTTTTGACACAAACAAAATTCCACCGATACAGCAAAAAAGGTACAGTTCCTTTTGCACTGTTTCTGAAAAGATCAGCCTCTTTTCGCAGGTTTTTTTTACTTTCATTTGATTCTGCCCTCCTTTTAGACCCAGTTGAGGATATACATATATAAATATTTAGCCTTTTTGGGCAGTAAGGTAATGTTTATTATCTTGACCTTGGCTGGATTTGCCAAAAAACTTCAGATGAAGGGAAGCTCTGTTCCTATTGTTTGTTGACAGAAACGTTAGTAATGGTTTATCCTGTGTGTTTTGTGTTGCGGTTTGGCATGAACATCATCTAACATTAGCACCAGCTAATGCTAACAGTAGGTCTAGTCTACCTGCCACTTGCAAACCTCTTGCTGCATGCTTGTTGGCTGTGCAGCACATAGACATTATAATCAAGACACCTCGTTGGGTGGGGTTTGGCTACAGTGCGGATGATTCAGAGCGTCCGCCATGATGATTGTGGCAAATCTGCTGTAAGGCTCTGACACCTTAACAGTATCAGAGGGACTTTAATCTTAGAATATACTTTATATAAATAATATTTTTATTTTTGTAATATTATGAGTTTACTGATGTATCTTTTGGCGTCATTCCCTTGACTTTATTCTTGTAAAGAATAAAAATAATTAAAAATGTATATATATTCTGGCCCTATTACTCCAGGACTGAAATAGTTCTGCAAACTGTGACTGTTCTGAAAATGTTTCCCCTTATTTTTCATAATATAACATTTTTCTTATGTTACCACTTTTGTCCTTTTATTTTGTCTTACTTTATTGTCCTAGGATTGTTTTACTCATATTAATAATTTAACTCTTTAATACTTCCCCAAAAAGTCTGTTCCTAATCTGTGTCTATGCCAGATCTTAAAAGATTCCCAAGCAACACAGTTTTATGAAATAATGAAGACCACAATGTTTAGATTTAACCAATTAATCTTTATATAAATAAGACATACATATACATACATTTCTCTATATAAATATATATAATATTATATATACATATATATGGGTATATATATACACAGACATCTATATCCATATCTGTTCTGTAATGAAGCTAAAAAACCTTGAAAGAGAATGGTCTTGCACAGCTTTTTCCGATTGTTGCCACTCTGCAGCTTTAGTGTGTCCAGTTTGGCAACTACTTTCTGCCACATACAATATGGCGGTGACGTCAACGTGCAAACCTGCGCCCAATGAGGCTTCTACGTATATATGTCTGTGGTGCAGCAGGCTCCACTTCTGTATCTCTCACCAAAAGTCCAAGATGTACCGTTTGATCAGTTTGCAGCCATTTTCCCATGTTGAAACACTGAGTTTGGGGTTATTTACATAAAAGTGGGACATACTGGATAAAGCTCATGCTGAATGAATAGGCAATAGGAGAAGGTAAAATCTCATTATATAAGAACAATGCATTTTTTGCATATACCGTAATCCTATCCTATCTTGCTCAAGGTAAAGCATATGTCTATGCATATTTACAGGTAGCTTTTATCATGTCATTATAATAGTACTTTTTTATGACCTTAAATGATAGCACTCACATGCTACCTCACAGAAGTATATAAAAAAATATATTATTTCTCTATTTTGAAGTGCAAAGCTTTGCTAATAGAAACTAGAGTAAATTAACTTAAGTGACAACAGTGTGATGCTGATTAATGCTTGCATGGAAACATGGTCCAGCTAGCTAGCTACTATGATAATAGAATAGCTATATATTTTTATTTATTTTTTTTTTATTTATATATATGGTCAATTAAAATGCCAGCATGCACACTAATGCAAGTCAGCTAACAGAAAAAAGTCCTTATACTAATGTTGCTTTCTTATAAGTTAAACAAGCTTTTTGGATAACAATTATATTTTAACTTGAATGACCTTAATCTTAATACTAAGGTAAGCGTGTCATGAATTAAATGTCAACTTTTGGCCAATATTAGCAAATAATATGATATCAATTACCTACTGTTTTTCTTTGCACTGAAACAACAATATTAACAAAAATAAAATGATCGACAGAGAGTTATTGAAGAACTGCTGATGGGAATGGTGAGTTTAAGAAAAAAAATGGGCCCAAAATAGAATTCTAATTAGGGCCTCTGTATCTACTCGTTTAAGCTTGGATGAGTGGATGGAGGAAGAAATGAAATTGAAAGTAGAAACTGAACCTAACATATAAAAAAATGCAAAGTCAGTCCCTTCATAAAGTCCTCCCCACAGCTTTTCCAAACAATAAATACACTATTCATTAAACTTCGCACCACAAACCCCACCCATTGAAAAGAAATTACTCAACAACCAGGATGAGAACAATTTAGAATACATTTGACAAACGGGACGAAATGGAGCTGGAATTTCCACCTAGAGCTAAACCCCATGATGATGCACTTAAATCGGGGTCACATGAATGAAATACCACAATCCCAGTTTATTGGATTTATAAGGCCTCGCTTCTTGTTTGCACTTCCTCATATCAACAGGAAGCCAATAGGGGCGGCCCGTGGTTTGAAGTTAGGTAAACAGGGTTTATGGAAAAGTTTAAAGCTGTGAAGTTATAAGAGGTCACCGCTGCATTGCCTAGATATGACGAAACACTCTTTTTAAGGGTGTTTCTTTTGACCATCATTTAAAGCAACCCTCTCCACTAGTGCCTTTGTTATTGTTTAAAACCTCAATTAGTTCTTACCATGTTTGTATGTAAATTCAACAAAGGAAGCTGTGTTGTTGAGTGTCTGTTGTAATGTGGTTTTCATGTCCTTAACAGCAAAGGGAAAAGCATAAAGGAAGTTGCACAAAAAATTATGTTTGAAGACATGAAGTCAACAGTAAATTTCATAAAAGATGAAAACAAAGTGTGAGAAATGTCCCTAAGATTGAAATCCACCGTTTGCATGTTTTTTTGTTTGCAAAAATGTCAGAGGTTATCCATTACACCCTGTGGCTTATGCCAACTTTTCCCAATCTTCAAACTCTTTGTTCTGCTTCTCTTTGGGGGGAGGAGGCTATTTTATCCAATTCCTGTCTCCTTGGAATGAACCTGGCATTACAGGAAGCCTTTTACTTTCAGTCTCAAACTTAATACATTTAGATCAAGCTGACCACAACTATTTTAATACCTACTTTATTTCTAAATTATGCAACACTCTCTCACTCTATTTCTTAATGCACTTCCAAAGGATAGTGGTTGTTATTTTACACACTTCTAAACTAATCAATTAATGAGATATTTTTGCCTTTTTTTGTGTAGAATTTTAAACACAAACCATTTAGCCAAAACGCAGCAGAATGTTTCCATTAAAATTGTAAAATCAATAATTACCTAATAGTGCTTCCTTTAGCTCTCTTTCAAATTATTAACCAACATAAAAGATAAGCCCATAGTGAGATTGATAAATTAATTTACCGGAATAATGGAATCGTGTTCTGTTACAAAACATCACATTGGATTAAAAAGCCAAATATCTTCACTAAATAAGGAAAAAGTCTTTCAATTACATTCCTCAAAAAATGTGCATCAAAGCCTATCTGAGTGTTTGGGACGGATTTACAATGATTCCTGGAGTCACTCCTGTAAAAAGCACAGCACACATGTTGATAGGATTGGCTACAACAGTCATATCCCTTGTTTTAAACAACACTAACAAAAAATAATTTTACCAAGTCTAAGGGGAAAACTAAGTGGGTTGTTGTTAAGTCACCCTCTTTTCAGATCAAAGTATGTATGTTTTTCATTTAACTTGGACTTGTGGGTTCTAGTCTAAAGGAAGAGATGGGAGGCACAGATACCAAGGAGACTGAGCGAGTGTGAATTTCTTGATTCACACCAGAGCTCAAAGTCACCAAAATCCTCTACCTGAAATTCTTTACAATATAGTTTTCCTCTCAGCTTACATGATTTTTATCAATAATTTATTTTCTTTTTTTATTTTTTTTTATTTGGATATCTACAGACCCCGACACACATACGAAACCAGAGCACTGTTTGCTCCACTGTTACTACCATCACTGTTGATTTTTTTTTTTTTTGCATACATGTCAATGCATATACTGTATGTATTTCCAAAATGGTGACTTAAGATTGAAATAAGGTCAGAGGAGTCATAAGTAAGCGACAACAGAACAAACTCCATCCCAAAAACAAATAAGCAACTTTAAATGAAAAAAAGTTTATACTAGGACAAACAATGTACATGAGCTGAATGCTGTAATGAAGGCAGCCCGGACTTCTTAAACTCCTCAAAGAGGCAAAGGGGCAAAGCTCTAAGCCACATTGCATTGCTGCAGTGATTGGAGGAACGCAAAATGCAACAAAGGTCAACAGGCCTGTTCTGGAATCATTGAAGGCCACATTTAGGACGAAGGCCTCGTAAATGGTAAACTATTTTTAAAATGATTTTCTTTTAATAAAATTCTGACATCAAAATTAGATTATAGAAGCAGTAATATCCACTTAAAAGTGTGCCACTTACTATGAGTAATATAAAAATGCCACAAGGATGCATACATTAATGCATAAAACCAAAAAATACTAAAACTGCCATATTCTTTGTTAGATTATTATTTTAAAAATGTTGTAAAACAAGGATGAGTTTCTCTTTCATCCATCCATCAATGTTTCTTATAATAGATCTAAGGCACGTTGTGAAAAAAAAAAAAGTTAGCTAATGTCATTTACAGAACAGCAATCCTGTTTGATTTAGAAATGTTGCATTGATCAAACTTCAAGCAAACACTGACTGAAACCTACCGTAAGGATGGGGTGCTTTTGCTGCAGCTGGTATAGATGACAGGCTCGTCGTCATAGAAACTGCCAAGGGCAAGTTTCTGCCTGATTGACTCTCTCTCATTCCTCTGAGCCTACAGGAGAAAAAAAGATAGCAACATGAATTATAAAGGATATTAATAAAAGCGCGGCTCCTGTGCTGCCACTTCCACTCAGCTGGCAAAGGCTGAGCTGATTGGATGATTTTATAGCTAATTTTAAAAGATTGTGTCTGATAGGCATTTATTCAAGATTATAATTATAAATAAAATGGGTTTATTATGGAAACATGTGAAAGGCATTGCCGTTATTTTATCCTTTGAGTCGCATCGTGGTTTTTATTTTAAAATGTCAGTTAATTTAAAAAAATCTGAGAAAAATAAGTAACATTTTGAAAAATATATGAAGGAATTTAAAATCTTTATTTTATAAAGTCTTTATTTATCCCTGTGTACCTTCACAATATTTGCCCTTTTGAATTAAATATATATATATATATATATTTTCAATTTGTTCATTAATGTGACTTTATTGTAGTTGAACACGTAGTTTTTTTCAACCTTCCTCAAAACTTTACCTTTTTCATTTTTATTTTTTCATAATATGAAAATAAATGAAATATGTGTTTTTTTCCTTCTGTTCAAAAGCCACAAATATATGATTCAAAATCAAAACCATACAAGGGTCCACTAGGTGGCTCTCTCTACCAGTTCTTGTTTCTTGTTTCATATAGCCATAAATGTGCATTTCCTTCTGGAAGCCTTCACCAAAGAGAAACAAGAAAAGAGCTCATCACTTTACAAACAGTAAATGTGTGCATTCGTTTGTTGCATCCGGTACAATGACAATAAAGCTTTTTCTCCTTGAACTTTTTTTTTTTCAGCTGTAGAAACCATCAGCTGATACACATGTCAACAAGTCCTGTATGAATTCAATTTTAAAGTCTGTTTAAGCAACCTCCTTGGGTCCTTAAGTGGGCCCAAAGTCTTCCTAAAAATTGTGGTGAACCTCTTGTGCAGCATGCGCTCACTTGTCCTCATTCACAGCTTCCTCTCTTTGGCTGCACTTAGCCTTCATAGACCTGAATAAAACAGCTCATTTTTATGTGACGCACATTCAGATGAAGATATGACGTCAAATGATGAATCAGGTGAGGTTTTTTTACTCTCCGTGCTCTTGTTCCCCAAAAATAGATGGTCAGATGCCCCCATTTCTCACACAATCGCAACATTTATCCCTCATGAAGTATGATTTCATGAATGAAATATAGAGCCCAGACACCAACAGGATGTAGAATTATTATCCTCAGTCTATTTTTACCCCTCAAGAAGAAACAACTACAATTCCACCAAAATGATTGGTGGTCATCTAAATCAAGATAAGGTTAGAAGTGAGTAGAAGGTTGAGAGATACACAAATTGGAATCACATGAAAGAATCCACTCCCTTTTCCGACATCCACTCATCCATTATGGCTGACATCCTCAGCTTCCCATTCATTACGCAGATACCTATCCCTCATACCTGTGAAGATCATGACACGAACACTTCCCTTTCTGAAACCCAAACCAACACAGACACAAATTCACACACCTGGTAAACGCGTTTCTCCTGGTGCACCATCCTTCTAACGCATGGTACTAACACAGCCGTCCTGCCCTTCTCAATACTGCAGTGGAGCTCCAATATACTGCAGGTCCATGCAGGAGAGGAGAGTGAGAGAGGAGAGGAGAGTGCAGGGAGGGGAGAGGCAGCAGAGAGTGAAAGGAGGAGGAGGGGGATGCAAGTGTGGGAAGAGGCGGAAGCAGCAGAGGAGACAGAAATGGTTGAGTGGTAGAGGGAGGGGAGAGTTAGAGCTGCCATGGCTTTCCTGATCTGTTATCTGTGCCTCCATCTTCCTCACTTGCTTTCAGCCTCCATTTTTCCTTTACTGCAAAGAAAGGATGAAATACTCCTGATAAATCTGGCAGGAGGAATGTCAAAGGTAGATTTGTTGAAGAACAGCAGATGTTCCAGGTGAGTGAGATAAATCTTCTGGATAAGATTGTATTATTGGAAAGTAAACCACCAAATGCTCCCAGATTCATATGATAAAGGTTATGTAAAAGATGAAAAAAATAAAATGGCCTCTTATTGTGTGTTTCATATTTTCTTTAATGTTTAGAAGTTTAAGCAGAATCTACCATAAAAGAGGAGGAAGCACAAAAAGCATCTATTGAAAAAAACAAACCCAAAGCACTCAGCTCTCAGAGTGCTGTGTCACAGTGAAGCAGTGGACTGATAACTTGAATCATTCACCCGTCATACGCCTGCAACTAAAAATACCCAACATACAGCAGGGAATTCTGTGAAAGGAAAAACTCTCAAGTTTTATCATTTATTTTATGCACATTTCTCCAAAGTAGCAACTGAGACAGTATAGATGGCCACTCACAGAGATGCTGGACAGCCTGGCTCGCTTCCCACTGTAAATGTTTTCAGCTTGTGGTGCAAAGATGTCCTGGACTTCCTCGGCCCAGTTGCAGCTTTCAACCATACAGCCGCCTCCGTGGTGTTGTGTAGTCCTGCTGCTGTCACTGTCCTCCCACAAGTAGCCTATTGTGGCCCCACTGAACATGTCTACCTCATGCAAAACCCCATATTCTTCCGTCAGGATTAACTATCTCACATTAAAAAAAAAATCAGCCAAAGGTACAGTTAAGCAATACAATAAATATATACCTTTAAAAATTCCAACTGCCCTTTTTAGAAAGCTGAATTATGAATAGCAAATTTAAAAAGAAAACTGCATTAAAATGATGCATTTGAGATTCCTTTCTTATAGGGCTTTTTTCTTGAGCTCAGTTCCTCTAAACACAGCTTTTCCAAGTGACTGTGGAGAATCGGAGCTATGATGTACTCTATTTTCAGAGTGTGCAGTGTTACACATTCTTCACAGTCACATGGAGCCCAGTTTCAGTGATGTGTAAATATTCCTCGTTCACATGCAGCATCAGAGGGTGCCCAAGGGAGAGAGCACCATGCAGAAATGTATAAAAAGAGACAGAATGGGGTTTACTAAGGCTTACCAATGTTAATAAATTCACAACAATAAAACTGCTGTGCAAAAAAAAAGCACCATATATTGCAAAACAATCAATACATTTGGATTAGAAATATTCAAATATGAAAAGTGAAACCTATAGTTTCCTTATACTTCAACTGTTACATCAGATATGGGTTCCAGCTTATTCAAATCACGCATCAGTACCTCAAATATAAACATTGTTTATGACCTTTGATATAGGTATGGTTTACCCAATCATGGAAGACAGTGGCTTCATTGTTTACCTGCAGTTATTTGATCAAAAAACATTCTATAAAAGTATATGTATGGAAAGCTGAGTGGAAAGGGAGAAAAAAAGAAAAGAATTTAGCTGGAGCTAAGAGAGTAATGCTAGCTGAAGCAAATCCAAGAGTTTGAAGGGATTTATAAGTTTAAGGATAGAGTTAGAATTCGAAAAAAGCAGATTACTCAAAAATTTTATTGGGACATTGGTAATAAGTGCAACCGAGAAAGCAATATCTAACTCAATCAGAAGTGTAATATCTTGGATTAGGAGGAGAAAAAAAAGGAAAATATTGTTAAAAAGTACAATTTTAGGATGAAAATACATTTCACATTTATTTTGGAAGCTATTTCCACCAATTATGAAGCAAACTTAGACAGAAATAATTCATCAGATTATATTTTTTCTTTTATCTGATGTTTTGATGTCAGCTAGGAAGTGATTTCAGTGCTCTGTCTCCATCTACTAGAGTGCGCTGTGTGGAGCAAAGTTAGAGCAGAAACGGGAATAGATCCAGAGTCCGGTCAAGGTTCATTTACACCGTTTAATGGTGATCAGGTTGCAGGATGCACTTTATATGGTTTTATTATAAACATCACCAAAAAACTCTTAAAATTCTTTGTCACCTAAATAGCACCCATTTAATCATGCTCCAAAGTAGAGCTGCACAATATATCTGCTGTGCTCTGAAAGTGAGAGCACAGAAAACTTTTGCAACATGATAGAAAAACATGTTGGCATTAAGCCAAAGTAGATGTGAAAGCTTTGGTTAATTCACTTCATAAAGTATTAATCAACCCTCCTGTGATGTTCCATTAATGCCAGTTTCACATTTCTGTACATTTAAAATCATATTTCACGTTTTAATAGGTTCCTTTTTTTTATGTGCAAGAAAACAGGTTTTCAATTAGTCAATATGGCACATAGTACAAATATGTACCATTTTGTTTTGAGCATATTTAAAAAAATATTAAGCACTTACGGAGCAATGCTCTTGATAGAGAAAACTCAGGTTTTCAGGAAAAATGGTAACCAAGATCAAGTTGAGGTTAATTCTTTAACTTCAATCCCCAGTAGGGAATCAACTTAAATACTATAAAAGGGGATTTTTGTAATGATTCACACTGATGTAAAAGTGCACTTCCAGCAAATGCAGTATTAACAGAAAATTTTCATTGAATGTTTTGGTTTTACAAAATTACAGGAAACTTGTTCCTCTGCTTTAAGCATTAACCAAGGTTACTGATCTTTAGTCTTCTCCAAACTGCTCTAGTTAAAAAAAAAAATAATAAAATAAAATCTATAATTTCCTTTTTTTTTTTTAAAGAATTCCGTAAAAATTCAAAATTTATTAACTGGACTTGGTTTTCAAGATTTGAAGACGTTTCACCACCTCTCCAGGAAGCCTTCTCAATTCAAATGTCTGGATCCACAGCGAGTTTGAGTCTTATATGGACAAGGCCTTGTATTGCTTGGGAACATGCAAATGGTAACCGGAATGACTATGACCTGGATGACTGAGAACCTTCATCAGCATTTTTTTAAAGAACTCATTTGGAAAATATACATTTGCACCATAGAACTCCCGACTCTCCAGATAACCAAAATACACAATTCAGAGCTCAACTTGTTTATTAGTTTTTCACAAAAAAACAAACATCTAAAAAGTAGGACCACTAGGCTGTGTTCCAGGAGTGCTTAGTCACTCACTTAGATGTCAGGTCCTCCAAGTCTGGATCAACAAGACTTGTGGAATGATAAAGCAAAAGAAACGACTCCCAGAAGGCATCAGGATTTGCTTGACTGTATCCAGATATATAGTTCTGCTCATTTTGTTGGATCTTACTGTTACCAACCAATGCTCTGGGAACAAAATTATAACTGCTGTGCTTTGCAGAAGGACCAATCCTTGGTTGTGGGCAGTCAGTACTTGACGTCACCGTTGGCTCTGTCGGCGTTGTTGTAGTCGTCTTTGGCGTGGTAAAATACTCTGCAAGGATTTTCTGAAAGGGATGAGCAAACAACTTAGGTTTTGGAGTCGTTTGAAAGTACGTATGCCATTCTGGAGGGTTATAAGCTTGGTAATAGGGGGGCAGATGATATCTGGGCCTTTTAAAATAATGAGCATAGAATGGGTAGTATTCCAGGAGTTTCTTAAAGAAGCGTTGATAAAGTAAAGATGGATGTGTCGGAGCAGCAGTAGTGGTGGTGGTGGTGGTGGTGGTCGGAGTTGGTGTTGAAAAGAAATAATGGAAAAATGGAAAACGGCGGCGTTTATAACAAGGATCGTATATGGGATGCCATCTAAAACCCCGCTTCATACGATGAAGGGCTCTGTGAAATCCAGTTGTTTTTAAAGAATCATCAACAGGCTCAGTGGTTGTACTGAGATCAGTGTTTGGCAACATGTTGCAGGTTATATTAACAACACTCTTCCTCCACTGCATTGTCAACACGTGGGTCCCGTTCTGAAACAAGACATAGGGGAAATGATGTGATGCCTTGTATTTATAGATTTATCTGCAAAGACAGACAAAAAAATCATACCCGTTTAACGCCACATCCATCATATGGGACAAGTAGGATAAGTCCAAATGGTGTCCGTTTCACCAAGATGCCACAGGATTCATGCATCCTGCTCAGAGGTACAGGGTCTGCATTGCCTGGGGAGGAGGGAGGGAAAAGGGCAATATAAATTGATAGAAACTTTGAGGGAACATAAAACATGGCTGAAAACTCTTACCCATGTACAGTTGTAGCTCATCAGCACCTGGTCCCATCACTTTAAATTTCATTTTGTTAGGGCCGCAGAAAAGTGAAGAATTAGAGCTGCTCCATGCAACTGCTTCAACTATACGGTCCTCTGTAAGTTAATAGAAGAAACACAATTGTCCATCCTTACCTTCTAGATTTCATAAATATGAATAAGCATGGAAGTTACCTTTATCAGCTGGGACTGAGGCATCATATAACCCAATTTCTGTGGCAAGAGCTGAGGAACGACCCGACTCAAACTTCAGCTCTTTCCCTTTAAACGTACCCTCCTCTTCCACTTCGGTACTTTTACCCACTTTTCTTATATTTTTCAGTCCATACCAGCTAAAACAGGTTAAACCAAGTGCTACAGAAAACAAGAGGATTGTGGCTGCTATTATCTGACATCTTCTGTGGCGTGCTGCACCTTCCATCACAGCAACAAAGAAAAAAGAGTTAACCATGCTACACAGCTTCAGTCTCACCTTTAATTATGCCAAACCATCTTAGCACCTGTTGATTCTGAAAGGGAATTAACCAATCAGAGAGAAGATCAGCCACAGATTGCCCTCTGTTACTAATTAAGATACAATTGGCGAGACTCTAGTTCTGTTCAGATTTCATCCTGTTGTCTCATGACTATACAGCAAATGT